TAAAAATAATTTTTAAAATATGCGTAAGCCGTATGACACGTGGATGGTATTGGTCAGTCAAAATAAAAATTTTTTTATATATATATATAATGTTGATGACAAGCACGCGTGTACGGGTATGATAATCAAAAATAAATTTATACAGGAGTAGTGTAGTCGTCGTGTGGTAAGCGAGGCGTGGGGTGGGGGGAATGCGTTATGACAGTCTAGTCTCAAGTCCATAGACGACGGAATATGCGATAACGCGTGGCGCTTAGAGTTACAAACAAACATACATACATACATACAGGTGAAACTAATATAAGCGTATTAAAAACCTACATTGATCCCTACCTATTCCATAACAAGGTATCTCCTGTTTTACCTTAATATCAAACAATGAGCTTTTTGATTAGCTATTTTCTATCATATTATCATAATAGTGTGTTGAAATTTAAAAAAAAATAATAATAACAATGGAATTGTTTATTATAGGTGGGCAAATCTTTGATGTAGCTTGAAAATTTTTCGGAGCGCGGGAGGTTTTAAATAAATGTGTTTATAATAATCTTTTCTATGATTCTTTTTTTTGCATGTAAATAATTACACAAGTAAATTAATAATGGACATATTAATAAGATCAACAGTAGTTACTTACTACTAAAAGTAGTAAGTATTTTTTTAATTTTACTTCTACGTTATATTCTGAGTTTTATCCCTATTATTTTGGGTTCTGTGCATTTCATATGATTTGATTTTATTGATTAATTCAGTTTCATTATTATATTAAGTTATAACTGTTATTTATAACCTTTTCCTCCTTATGATAAGGAACAAAACCTTGGTGCTCTGGTTTTGCCTTTGCCTTGCCTCGGACCATGATGGATCCTTCTCGAGTTTCTTGTTGGGCTGGTAATTATAAATTTAGCTTACAAGACTAGCTAAGTGCAACCCCATCGTACACAGTAAACCCAACAAATTCAAACCAACGTGGGATCCAGCAAAAAGGCTACAAAAGCAAAGTGGGGTCGGGAGCAAGTGATAACGGAAAAATGTAATTATAAATTTAGCTTACAAGATAATTCTTATGTAAGCCTAAATAGGTATTGGTTATCATAAATACCATTACTGAATGATATCAATAATGAAGTGATAACGATTTGTTATTTTTTCAATAAAAAAATTGCATTGAAACAAAAGAAACTAGCACTAAAATAAAAAAATGTCTACACAATTGAATATAATATTCTAACATTTTAAAAAAATTTTAATCTTTGATTTAAATATGATAGCTTTTAAATAAAGATGTAACTCATCTTTAAATATTAAATATTGAAATAATTAAATTCGTTATAGTTTCAATACTGCACATTATACTTAAAATAAAATACACCATAAAATTGTTTTAAAGAAGGTCTTTTTTCTAAGTGTAAAAATACGATGAAACGTGTAAAGTGTCATTTAGATAATTAATGTTTAAAAATCATCTAACATGATTAATTTTTGATTTACCGAACAAACTTATGGTAACGATAAGTCAAGTGAACAGTGTCGGATTTGTGGACAAAATACTAACAAACCTCTCTGCATTCCTATTAATTATTATTATCCGAAAAGACAAACATACTCTAGTGTAGTAATGTCATATTAATAATACAATGTTATTACCGTAATTTGTATTTGTTGGCATAGGAAAATATTTCTGTTTGGCTTTATCGTTTGTTTTTAGCTTGTAAGTGACCGCTTTTAAATTTAAACATGTGCTACAGGTCAGTAATATAATATTATTTTCTCCGTTAATCATATGATCATATAAGTCAGATTTTCAAAAAATGTATATCAAATGAAAGAAAAATATCTAAGGTTGCAATAAAAAAAATAATTATTTTATTATATTTATTTTTAAAAAAGTTATGGCAGTTTTAAGTATTAAAATATTTCATGTTAAACAGTGATTTTTACATAAAAATTACATTTCTCGTTAAATTCTATGTCCATTTTCCCATAGAAAAGGTATCGGGACACATTTTTTTTTGAAATTGTAGTATTTATCATAAGCTTTAATTTGACATATATTTAAAGTTCTGAGTATTTCCCGAACATTTTTAAAAGTTATGTTGAAAATGTTTTATTTTTTATTCGTATTTATAAAAATTTTAAATATCTAGTTTCAGATTTGTTCCATCACATAAAGTATACAGACTTAAAAATTTATAAAATAAAAATAGAAATGTGCTTTTTAATCTCTTTTAATTTGTTTTAATGTTATAAAAACAATTTAAACTTATTGCAATAGTTTCAAATAATACATAACCTTTTAGTACAATTAAAATAAATTTAAAGCGTTTAAAAAAAATTATTTTTTTCTAATAAAATAATATTTCTGCAATATGTTTTACAAATCTAAAAGAGGAAATGTTTCATCCACTTATAGCCTATAAATAATCTATAAAATTAATATTCCGATTATATTCGATTATTGCACATTTATATAACCAGATTTTTTTTCAATTAATTATTTTGAACTTGAAATCAGTTTGACTTTAAAAATAAAATAAGAACTTATTTTTATTACCAAAACTTAAAATGAAATTCAATATAATTATATTTAGTTTAGTAGGCTGTTTCAATTATGCAGTCGGTAGTGGAAGTAGCTCAGGTAATTGACATAGCATATAAATTAGTTTTTATAAATTTTATAGTACATGTGACATCCGAATCGGATAGCAATGCCCTAGCCCCTGTCTTGAAGGCCCAGTCTTAAGGCGGTGCTTCTGATCGCGGTATATGGTATGAGGCCTCCAATTTGAGATTATACTTAATCTGAAATTGTAGGTAACTGAAAAGCGTTTTTAGCTTCGATGCGAAGCTGAGAAGGTATTAATTTTACTATGATGTGTTTTTTTTTTTTATGTCTGTTGCCACTTTTTTTCAGCACTCACTGGACCGATTTCTTTCAAAAATACGTCAAAATATCACAAATCGTATTTAGTTGAAGAAATAACCCATAAAAAATTTTAAAAAATTACCCCGTTCCCCGAAATTGGGGGAAATATCCAAAAAAAATACAAATTTAAAAATCGGTAAATTTTTTTTCATTTTTTTCCTTTTTTTTTCTTAAAACTTCCATAACTTTTTCAAAAATCAACAAATCAACATAATTTTTTTTTATACTAAAACCTTAGATATTTTCCTTTCATTTGATATCATTTTTTTGAAAATCTAACACTTGACCAGCTCATTAGGGGGGGATTTAAAATAGCTACTTTTTTACAAAAACTAACTTTTTCAACATAATTCTTGAAAATGTTCCGGAAATACTGTGTACTTTAAACATATATTAAATTAAAGCTTATTTTATGTACTCTAAAATGAAAAAAAAAATTTGTCCCGACAACCTATCTACTATGCGCAAATGGCTACCGTATTCAAAAATATACTATTTTAACAATTTTTTTTTTTTAATTAAACACTATCTACAGATTTGTATCGAAGCGTTTTTTATGATAGTGATCTTAATCACTGTCAGATATCATCTATACTGGACACAACTATGCCACGACCCCACTCTGCCGCCAACCCACTGTGCTGGGTTTTTTGACTCTCAACTAACAAATTTATTTATGTTGAACAATTAATTTGGAAATTAATATAATATAATTACACGAGAATAATATCATTATATGTGTATACAATAAGTACATATCTTTTTAACACGCTTATATTAGTTTCACCTGTATGTATGTATGTATGTATGTTTGTAACTCTCCAAACGCCTCCACAAAACACGGCTATACCTAATGATTGATACGTTTACGTAGTTAAGTCGCATTATTTGTATATATATATTCTAATTACTATTAAAATTTATATATTAACACGCTTTATTCTAATTAAGAGATAGAAAGTATTCATTCCGATTACGAGGATGATTTCCGTATCGTTATTTTTCGTCACTACCTCCACGTTCCGGGAGTGAGTAATTTGCGCGCCTGCTGCTTTCCTTGGATGTGGGAGCCGTTTCTCAGACTCCCTCCTCGGAATCGAACCATGATTTCCCGTTACCCGTTACAACCATGATATTGATAGTAATTACTATCATAATATAAAACTAAAAAGTTAAAAATAATTTTTAGTTCGATGTGCTTTAAAAGCGTGTTTTTTTAGTTTTTTTAAACTATATTTATTAAAATATATTTGTACAAATAAGCTATAGACGCAATTGACTTCGATCAAAATAAAAAAACTGTGTTTAAAATATCAAAGTATCACAAATGGCCACGATATTAATACCTATTTTTACATTAAATTTTTTTATAGAAAATTTAATACATTATTTACATTTATTTAAAGCTCTAATAAATTTTTACTAATTAAATACTCTCTAAATTAATAAATGCTCAATCATGTCATTGTTCCGTTTTAATTCTCGCATTGTTTTTCCTTATTCTATAAATAACATTCCTTTAATTCGTTCCTCTGAGTCAATACGTTTGGGTTTATTTTCACACACAACCTATCTCCTAACAAACATATCCAACATATTTTCTGCAGAGCCCTCGAACTCCTTGGGTTCATTTCCCGTATTTCTCAAGAATTTAAATTAACCAACCCCCTTAAAACACTCTTCACTTCCCTTGTTCGTCTCAACCTAGAATACGGTTATGTTTTTTGGGAACCCCAAACGGCTTGTTTAAGGGCATCACTAGAAAGGGCCCAAAGAAATTATTTAAACCTGATATCATTCCACCTCAATATCCCTCACACTCCTCATGATTACTCTCCTTTCCTTTCAGCCCTACATCTCTCAAATCAAACCTCCTTTTCCTTAATATAAAATATTATAAATAAATAAATAAATAAACTTCTCTACATACTATAATATGTATAATGTTCATGTTTAACAATAAGTCTGGATATGTTGCTTTTATAGTAATACTGGATTAATGTCAATTATTTCGTCTACTGATATAGATTTTTCTTTGTATTCTTAGATAAAGAATTTTATTTTTTAATTTCAGCAGTAACCAATATTGAAAAAACAAAAACACCACTTTACCACAACTTAATAAAAGATTTGAAGAAAATAAATAGTAATACTATAGACAAGGTAATGGAAAATTTGATCAGAGCTAGTCTATCACAAAAATCGGCTTATAGTTTATCAGCAAAATTGCAAAACGCATTAAATGAAGATTTTATTATAAATGGTAATTGATTAAGTTATAAAATAATGAGAACACTATTAGATTTTATAAACAGAAATGGAGTGTTTACTCATTTTATCGCTTATAAGTTGAGAAGAGTTGAGAAAAATTAATGGTAGACATAAAAAACCCAGCACAGGGGGATCGCGGCACAGTGGTGACGTGCATAGTTGGATCAAGTATTATGATATCTGACAGTGATTAAAATCACTATCAAAAAAAAACGCTTCGATGCAAATCTTTAGATTGTGTTTAATTTAAAAAATTAGTGGATTATTCCAAAAGCTTCATAAACTGCTAGTTCCTTATTAATATCCTGATTAAGATAAAGTATGTCGAATGAAAATGGGATTATTAAAAAATAGTATTTCCCATAAAAAAATTATATTGATCAATACACTTTTCAATAAGTTATAGCATTATAAAGTTAAAAATGTAAAGTTCAAATTATTATTATTATTGTTCAATAATATTATAGTATAATAAACACACGTCGTGATATTAAATTCACTTGCAGTGGTATACACTTGTTAATTAATTAAAAACATCATGGTACAATGTTTAACTTTTCATCGTCTCACGGAAGCTAAAATAAAGTTGACAATTTTATTAGGTATAAGGAATGAATTAAGAAAGTAATTAATAATTTAAAATTAAGAAATATATGACACTAATAAATACCAAAAATAATTTTTTTAACATAATTGTTGTCGCATTACATTCCCGGTTTAACCTCTGGATGGCGATTGTGGCGCTTCCTCTTTACGTCCGACCGATCACACATTGCGGAGTGGCAGACTGAACTGGTCACGATAACTTGATTATCTTTTTCAACTTTTCACGTTAATGTTTTTCTCCGTCAAATTTCGAAATACAAATATACGATAATATTGTGATATTGGTATAAATGCTTTGTTATTATTATTATTATTTTTCAATAATATTATAGTATAATAAACACACGTCGTGATATTAAATTCACTTGCAGTGTTATATACTTATTAATTAATTACTCTGAACACAACAAATGGCACAGTCGGTAGGATATAACACAAATTAATTCTAAGAAAAATCGAGTGGCTAACATTAAAAGAATTGCTCTATATAGTATGTATAATGTTCATGTTTAACAATAAGACTAAGTATGTTGCTTTTATAGTAATACTGAATTAATGTAAATTACTTCGTCTACTGATATATATTTTTCTTTGTATTCTTAGATACAGAATGGTATGATTTGATTTCGACATCAATCGATAATGATAGACATAAAGCAATAGTTTCCAAATTATTAAATGATAATTGTTTAGGAAATATAACTACATGCTTTATAAAAGCTGGTCTATCAAAAGATTCGATTGATATTATATTAAATGAATTTCACGGAAAAAGTGAAAATACCAATTTAAATGGTAATTGATTAAGTTATTAAATAATGAGAACACCATTAGATTTTATAAACAGAAGCCATCACACTTTTTTCAGAGTTACCATTTTATAGAAAAAATAATTTTCTTATCACATTAAAAAAATATTGTTATATTAGTATAAGGAGTGTTTACTCATTTTATCGCTTATAAGTTTTATTTAATTATCACTTAAAATTTGTAAACATTGAGATTTTTTTAATTTTTTCAAATCAAATTTATCATATAACTTTTTTAAATTGAATGAATCAAAACAATTTTTTTTTACAATTACCTTCAATAATTATTTTTTTTATGAATACTTTTTTTAAATTAGACCCTTAAAATTTAATATTTTCATATTAACTTTTGAAAATGTTCGGGAAATATTTCGAGTTTCAAACATCTTGTAATAAAGTTTATGTAATACACTTCAATTTCAAAAAAAAATTTTGACGTAGTAGTAAAAATAGGTTCTGCATTCAAAACACGCTATTTTTGCGTGAAAATATTTGGTTCGATATTTTATACTTTCAATTTATATTGCTATTAATTTTAACAAAAAATTACCTTCATTATAAAACTGCCATAACTTTTTTTAAAAAAACAATGAATAATCCAAATGAAATTTTAAAATAATATATGAAATAAAAAAATCCAGCACAGGGGGGTCGCCGCACAGTGGTGACGTACATAGTTGGATCAAGTATAATGATATCTGACAGTGATTAAAATGACTATCAAAAAAAAAACGCTTCGATGCAAATCTTTAGATAGTGTTTAATTTAAAAAAATAGTGGATTATTCCAAAAGCTTCGTAAACTGCTAGTTCCTTATTAATATCCTGATTAAGATAAAGTATGTCGAACGAAAAAGGGATTATTAAAAAATAGTATTTCCCATAAAAAAATTATATTGATCAATACACTTTTCAATGAGTCATAGCATTATAAATGATAATATTGAGTAAAATTAGATTAAAGAAAATTTCAGAGAATAGAAAACAATATAACACAACTAATCTATTGTAGTACAAATAGTTGATCTTTGAATGAAATATTTCACAGATTATTTGAAAACATGTGTTTTGTTAACTTCTTTCAAAACTTCATATAAAACTATTTCAGGTCAATATAATTTACAAATTAAAGAAAATAATTTATACGCACATAATTTGTTTGATAAAGATGTACAAAATTTTCAACCACAAATTCTGTACACAAAAGACAAAGTTAAACAATTATTTAGCAGTTATTACTATTTTTTATTTTCTATAAAATAACATATTACTGTAATTAATGTGTAAATTTGATGAATATTAATTTAATGTAATATTAAATAAGTCATACGACAAATAATAGAAAAGTTAAGGAAGCGATTTCTGTTAACTAACAACAATACAATGGCCAAATTTTACAGTCATCCGCAAGATAAGCAATCACTAATCACATAGATCACAATCACGAACAGATGATTAATAAATACAATTGGGCGGAGTAGCAATACTGATATCTCAAACACTAGTGCTATCTATTAACACAAATAATAAAAATATTAATTTAACCCAACATTAATATTACTATAAATTAGAATTTTATTTATGTTAATACTAAAGTATACCCCAAGTAATTGAGATTAAGGCGAGGAGGAAGAAGAAGAATTATGATACTAAAAGCATTGATTAACATATTTCTTAATAAAAGGGATTAGTTCCGTGTGTACTTTAAAACAGAAAAAATGAACTTTTGTTTGGATTATTTTTCCTTTTATATTTTGGGGGAAAAAAAACCCAGTACAGGGGGATCGCGGCACAGTGGTGACTAAAAAAATAAACACATCTTAGTAAAACTAATACCTTCTTAGCTTCGCATAGAAGCTAAAATAGTTGATAGAAGTATTATGCTCTTAAAAATATAAACTTTTTCATTAACATATGATATTTTTTTTCAGAATTATTACAAAGAATCGAAGCATCAAATCAAATAACTTGTTATGAGGAAGATTAAAGAAATTTTAATTTACTTACTTAAGATTTTTTAATATTATTTTTTATTTTTTAATAAATAAATTACTATTCTTAGTAAAATATAATGTTTGATTAAAAGGTACTCTATAGATAAATGCTATAAAACAATTGTTTAAAATATAAATCGCTATCATATTATAAAAATACAATTACATTGATATATTATAAAATTTATATTGTTATTATAATGGTTGAATAATAATATTTAGATTGTAATGTTTAACAAGAGTAGGAAACTATAAATTACGAAATATTTTTAAATTAAGGATTACAAAACATTTCCAGAAAATCATGGGTAAAATGTTAGGAAATTATTGTATATATGATCTATTAACATTGTTTAGCTTTTTAATTATTTTTATAAATATTTAGTATTTCTATTATAAGTATAAAATTATACTTATATAAAAGTTTATGTCTCTTTGGTTGAGAGTTTGATAACGTAAATTAATTAAACTGTAAAATACTTACATACCATTAAAAAAGTATATTATATTTGATCTGTTTTAAAGACTTTTTATAGAAATAATGTCCAATATTTTTTTTTAATAATTCAAGAAAAATAAAAATAAGCTTTAGATTGAATATAGTTTGATATAACTCCAATATTTGGAACGATGTGTTTTATATTTCTAGCTATAGAGTTGAAAAATTTAGATGCCTCGTTTGTGTAATTTTTCATATATGTGTAATCGAAAGAATTAAATCGTGGTCAGAGAGACACAAAAAATATAAATTTCGTTGAACGGTATATAATATATTTATTTTCCTTAAATTCGATATCCATTTTCCCATAGAAGAAAAGGTATCGGGACACATTTTTTTTTGAAATTATAGTATTTATCATAAGCTTTAATTTTTACATATATTTAAAGTTCTGAGTATTCTGAATATAAGTTCACATATATTTAAATGATCCCGAACATTTTTAAAAGTTATGTTGAAAAAGTTTTACTTTTTATTCGTATTTATAAAAATTTTAAATATCTAGTTTCAGATTTGTTCCATCACATAAAGTTTCTGGTATAATTGCTAATTAGTAATTAAGCGATGTATACAGACTTAAAAATTTATAAAATAAAAATAGAAATGTGCTTTTTAATCTCTTTTCGTTTGTTTTAATGTTATAAAAACAATTTAAAATTATTGTAATAGTTTCAAATAATACATAACCTTTTATAATACAATTAAAATAAATTTAATGCGTTTAAAAAAAATAATTTTTTTCTAATAAAATAATATTTCTGCAATATGTTTTAAAAATCTAAAAGAGGAAATGTTTCATCCACTTATAGCCTAGAAAGAAGTTTAAAGAGTTAAAAAAAAAAAATTTTTTTTTATTATATAAATTTTTTGAGTGCATTTATCTCTTAAATAAATTCTTAGTTCTTTTAAAATTTTCACACGACAAAAATATGTGTATACAATTTTAATAATGTTTCAATAATAGCCAATATATATTATATATTTTTAATCCAGATCATAATAATTATTATTATAAATTATTCGACAACATGTGATGGATGAATAATTATTTTGTTGAATTAATTAGATATATGAAAGTATTATGTCTTAAAAAACCTTTTTTTTTCCCAATATATCGATTTATATAATTTATTAAAAAAAAATACTGTTATAATATAATGTAATTTTGTTAAAGCATATATAAACAAGTTGTACATGTACGTCAGAATTATTTTTAAATATTTCTGCAATATGTGTTACAAATCTAAAAATATAGTTTAAAAAAACTAAAAAACACGCTTTTAAAGAACATCGAACTAAAAAGTTAAAAATAATTTTTAAAATAAGCGTAAAACAATAATGAACGAAAAGTACTAGTATTATTGTGATAAAAGCGTCGGGCGCTCAATATACGAAAAATATAGCACAAAGCACCCACGCTTTTATCACAATAATACTAGTACTTTTCGTTCATTATTGTTTTACGCTTATTTTAAAAATTATTTTTAACTTTTTAGTTCGATGTTCTTTAAAAGCGTGTTTTTTAGTTTTTTTAAACTATATTTATTTTTCACTTTTTAGTTACATGTTATGATAGTAGTTACTATCAATATCATGGTTGTAACGGGTAAAGGGGAATCAGGGTTCGATTCCGGAGAGGGAGTCTGAGAAACGGCTACCACATCCAAGGAAAGCAGCAGGCGCGCAACGTGGAGGTAGTGACGTAAAATGACGATACGGGAATCATCCTTTGTAATCGGAATAAATACCCTATATATCTCTTAATGAGAATAAAGCGTATTAATATATAAGTTTTAATAGTAATTAGAATATATATATATATATATAAAGCGACTTAAGTACGTAAACGTATCATGCACGAGGTATAGCTGTGTTTTGTTGGCGGGCGGGGCGCGAGGCATATATGGCGGCAGCGGCGTCGGCTGTAGGGATATATAAATGAATATTAACATATACGTATATATAAATAATAATATATATATGTATATATATATTAATATTAGCGGCGATGGTAAGAATATATAATCTTCGCATAATATCGTGGCACTTTCGTTGGCGTCGACGACGCGATGTCCGGCGTGATCCTCGGGCGTCAAAAGGTTAGCAGCGTTGATGGCGACGGTGCGCGAGTGGAGATCGGTTTATTGACGTTGCCACTTTGACAACAGGAAGAATACTACGGTATCATTAGCGGCGGTACGTCGTCGGCCGTGCGGAACTTGCTGGACTTTGCATTGCGGCGTATAACGCGCGGTGTTGGTCAGTCAAATACTCAAAATTATACAGAAAAAAATAGTGTCGTTGCCGACTGGTGAGCGGGTTGGGGTGAATGCGTTACGACGGTCTAGTCTCAAGGTCATAGACGACGGGATACGCGACATAATAACACGTGCCGCGTGGAGTTACAAACTTACAACATACAAACAATATACAAACAACATACAAACAACATACATGTGCAACTAATACAAGCGTGTTAATAAAAATACCCGCGCCTAATCTCCAACCATTACTTTAAATTGTTATTAATATTCAAATAAAATTATTAAAATACAAAATAAAAATTGTATTTTATCATAACCCACTCAATTACTTACAGAATAAATATATTTAAACATTTTTTTTTTTTTTGGTTATCTTCAGTTACACATTATTCTTGAATTATTAACTATTTTTTTTTTAAATGGAAACCCATATTTTTAATTTAATAAAATGTTTGAGTTTTTAATTTGATAGTAAATAGCATATTAATAATATATATTAAATAGTAATTAAAAATATGGGTTTCCATTTAAAAAAAAAAGTTGACGCTCTTACAAGGCATAAGGGATGAACTTAAAAAGTATTACATAGTTAATAATTCAAGAATAATGTGTAACAAAAGATGTTTAAAAAAAAATGTTTAAATATTTTTATTTTGTAAGTAATTGAGTGAGTTATGATAAAAAAATAATCCTGTATATTTATTTATTCATATATTACACGTATAAATCATAAAACTTGTAATCAAGATATAAATAAGGAGATAGGAGATCATGTAGCTTTTGGAATAATCCATCAATTTTTTAAAATTAAACACTATCTACAGATTTGCATCGAAGCGTTTTTTGTGATAGTGATTTTAATCACAATCAGATATCATTATACTTGACCCAATTATGCCACATCCCCATAGTGCCGCGACTCCACTGTGCTGCGGTTTTTTAACTAAATTCTTAATATTGATTCTAATAAATTTACAAAAATAAGTATTATAAATAGGAATAAAAATAAATATAGTTTAAAAAACTAAAAAAACACGCTTTTAAAGCACATCGAACTAAAAAGTTAAAAATAATTTTTAAAATAATTATGAACAAAAAATACTAGTATTATTGTGATAAAAGCGTCGGGCGCTCAATATACGAAAAATATGGCACAAAGCACCCACGCTTTTATCACAATAATACTAGTATTTTTTGTTCATAATTATTTTAAAAATTATTTTTAACTTTTTAGTTCGATGTACTTTAAAAGCGTGTTTTTTTAGTTTTTTAAACTATATTTATTTTTTACTTTTTAGTTTCATGTTATGATAGTAGTTACTATCAATATCATGGTTGTTACGGGTAACGGGAAATCAGGGTTCGATTCTGGGGAGGGAGTCTGAGAAACGGCTACCACATCCAAGGAAAGCAGCAGGCGCGTAAATTACTCACTCCCGGAACGTGGAGGTAGTGACGAAAAATGACGATACGGAAATCATCCCTCGTAATCGGAATGAATACTTTATATCTCTTAATTAGAATAAATCGTGTTAATATATTAATTTTAATAGTAATTAGAATATATATATTTATACAAGTAAAGCGAATTAAGTACGTAAACGTATCATGCACTAGGTATAACCGTATTTTGTGGGCGGGCGGGTCGGACTAACGTTATACCTGACGTATAAACGGTGGTAGGAAAATATAAAGATATATACGTAAGGCGCATTAGACGCGGGCGGTATTGGTCAGTCAAAATAAAAATTTGTTTATATATATATAATATTGATGACAAGCACGCGTGTACGGGTACGATAACTAAAAATNAGCACTCGTGTACGGGTACGATAACTAAAAATAAATTTTTATAGGAATAGTATGCCATCGTGTGGAAAGCAGGGCGTGGGGAGGGGTGAATGCGTTATGACAGTTTAGTCTAGACGACGGAATATGCGATAACGCGTGGCATTTGGAGAGTTACAAACATACATACATACATACATACATACATACAGGTGAAACTAATATAAGCGTGTTAAAAATGTTCATAACTTTTTCTTGTCAATAATTATTATTAACACGCTTATATTAGTTTCACCTGTATGTATGTATGTATGTATGTTTGTAACTCTCCAAACGCCACGCGTTATCGCATATTCCGTCGTCTAGACTAGACTGTCATAACGCACTCACCCCACCCCACGCCTCGCTCATCACACGACGGCACACTATTCCTATAAAAATTTATTTTTAGTTATCTTACCCGTACACGCGTGCTTGTCATCAATATTATATATATATAAACAAATTTTTATTTTGAATGACCAATACCGCCCGCGTCTAATGCGCCTTACGTATATATATTTATATATTCCTACCACCGTTTATACCTCAGGTATAAC